CCGCACAATCCCATCCTTGACGAATTCGCACCTCTGCCGATTGACTCGCATGCTGTAACCTTTGTCAACAACGACAGCAAGTGACACCAGATTGCGACGAGCATCCGGAACATAAAGCACGTCTTCCATGTGACACGTCAACCATTTTCCGTTTACCAAAGCCTCACAGTCAATCCTACCCTTACCAACAGCCTTCATCGTTGAATCGTTTCCAATATAAACTGTAAGTGGATTGACAAAAGCTTCATAGGTCACAAACCATTCTCGATGGAAAGAGTAATGATCTGTAGTTCCCGAATCCATTAACCAAATGGCTTGCTCGCACTCGACGTTCTCCGCTTCCATAACAAAAGCAAAACCACCAGCTCCCTGTGAATCTTTGTTATTGTTTTGCGGCTTCTTGTCCTTGTTCTTCTTGCAGTCCTTTTTCACGTGTCCTTTTTCACTACAGTCGAAGCACTTTGGCACCTTCTTCTTCTTTGTGTCAACTAGTTTCTTCTCGGAGACACGTGTAGAATTTGCACTGCTCTTGTGTTTGATACTAGCTGCTGCAACTAGCGCCTCCATTTTCTCTTGCTTCGCCTTGTGTACGATGCGACGCGAATCGTCGGCAGTGAGAACTGCAATCAGCTCCGTCAGCGTCTGTTTATCTTCGGGGCGTGCCCACCATGACTGTCGGAAACTCTCGTAACTTTCAGGCGTGTCCAACAGGCGTACCATAAGCGCTGAGTCGTCCGGCTTCACATTCAACTGTCGCATTCTGAGAACAAGCCCCTCGAATTTTGCAATATGGCTGACCAAATCGTCGTCGGGCGACATCGCAAAAACAAAGAATTCCGACTGGACTGCGTGCGCAGCTATCTTTGTCTGTTGCTCAAATATGGCGTGCAATTTCACCCACATTTCCCGTGCGCTTTCACAGGCCACGAGTAACGCCAACACTTTCGGATCAAGAGTCTTTACAAGAATTTGCGATGCAGCACGATCAGCTCTGTCCCATTTTTGCATAGATGCTGTATAGGTAGCTCGTTCCGTGGCATCTGCACTTTCCGCGATGAGACCAGGCTTTTCCAACTCACCGGTGCATACCTCATAAGCTCCCTCAACAGCTCTCAGTAAGTTCCTCTACGTAAATTTCCACGTAGTCCAGTTACCCTTCCCGGTCAGCTTCTCGATTCCGTGTATAATTTCCATGTTCGTAGCGATCACCAGCAAAATCTCAGTCCAACGACAAATCTTACTCACGCCGAAACACGATTCTCACGGACAAAAGAAACTCTTGTAATTACTTTCTCGTTCACACAGATCCACGGACCTCTGCTACCATGTTGTAGTTCGAGAAAAGGAGAAAGTACAGATAATAATGTTTGTACGGGAATTTATTCAATTCCTCAGGAACAGAAACAGTGACACCTTTGTCAGGAAAATACGTGTACGAAGTGACTGACGCAACGTAACGATACGCAACTAACTTAACTTGACATCGTGACACACCACACGGTGAGAGAGCGCAGAGCGCGCTACAGTCGACTAGATTCGACCAATCAAACCAAACCTATACTTATTCAGACAAAGATAGTAATGCACAATAAATCTTAAATTGTTATTTCCAACAATAATTAATAGTGTTTCACACTAAAACTTAAACTGTTTGGCAAATTTTCATAACAAAGAATAAAAACTAATTTTTCCTCAAACATCTATCAATTAAAAAAAAACTTTTTGTAATTAACAGTGTTTCACACTAAAACTTAAACATTTTGGCAAATTTCCATAACAAAAAATAAAAACTAATCTTTCCTCAAACATCTATCAATTGAAAAAAAACTTTGGAAATTCTTAAATGTAGGTACAGGAATTTAGAGGCAAAAATATAATAGTTATTAAAGAAGGTTATTTGGTTTCGTAACGATTAGCCTCTATTGCACATTATATTCACTTAGGTCAATAGAAAAAGAATAAAGAGATGACATTCGAGACGTGCTCTTTGAGAAATTTGGTTTTGGCAACAGCAAAATAACATCTTTGAAATCTACGCTTGCCTTATCTTCTACACTGGGGAAGACAAACACACGAGATCCTGGTTTTTTCCTGAGATATAACACTTGATAATCGGTCAAGTTGTATTTGGAAATTACTTTGGCGACGTAGTGAACGACGAACTTTTTCTTTTCAAATTTAATGAGTAAGAAATCTCCAATATTAATATTTTCAGGATTGAGCACATCAAGATCTAAATCCTCATCTTCTGGATCAGATGCAATTTCAAAATCTTCAACATCATTGTCACTTAATTTTACTTTATCATTCTGGCTGCTATCAGAGTCAGATTGTGGACGACTACTTTTTATTCTTAATCTTTTTAGTTTCTGATAATAATTATTTCGTCGATTTTAACTCTTTTGCTTTCGGTTTCATTATTTTAACTTGTTGTTTTCTTTGCTTCTCTTCGTGCAATCTCTGTAATCTATCTTTTTCAGGCGAATCAGTAAAGACTCTCGATTTCCCTTTCTCTCTTCCTTTCTTCGACGACAAAGCATTTTTGTCAATACCTTTTTTTGGATATGGTCTAACTACTTCGGGGGACTATTGGCGGAGAACTTTGCGGAACAATATTCAGAGACGATGTAACATCTTCTTCCATTCGATTTCCCAAAGGGTTTACTGAGATTACAGCAGCTGGTACGTCATCTGCTTCACAATTCTCGGCCACTTCATCATTTTTTTCATTTATATTCATGTCCACAAAATCTGACTCTTGTCTATTTTCATCATTCACATCCGTAACGTCTGGAACATCTTGAGAACTCGTATCAAATATTTCTATTGGTGCGAAATCGTCATCTCCAAAAGCAAGTCTATTAAATGGCCAAATACCTGGTTTCGAAAACCCGCTCGTAATATTCTTTGGGGTGAAAGATTCCAGGAAAGCTGATTTTGTTAGTTCAGCAATGTTATATATGGACAATGTCTTTCCCACATTTCTAACGTGCCAATCGTTAAAAACGATTTTCAATTTGCCTTTAAAGGGCCTAAAAATGCTGACGTCCAAAGGCTGCAATTTATGGGACGTGTGTGGTGGAAGAGACAAGTAGACGATACCATTGTCACGACAATAGTTAACTGCATATATTGAAATGTGAGACTCGTGGTTGTCACATATTATTAGAATAGGATTGTCCTTGGTGCATAAAGTTTGGCGCTGAATATGACGTAGAACTTGGACGTGCAATTCAGCAGTCATCCATCCGCTTCTGTTTGCCAAACCTAGACTTCCTTCCGGAGCTCCATTTAAAAAATGTTCTTTGTAATGCACACGTGGGAAGACATACACAGGAGGAAGAGCAGCCCCTGTAGCAGTAACTATTCCACTAAATGTTATAAGTTCTCCTCGTTCACTTGATACAATTTGTCCTACTTGTCTTTGTTTCTTTTCAGCCAAAACTTTAGGTGTAGGTAACACTTGTAGTAATCCCAGTTTCATCTAGATTTATTATACGGTCAGGCGTAAATTTGCAGCGAATCATTACTCTTTCATAATTGTCAAAAAATTCATTGACTGCCTTTTTATTAAACGCAAAACTTCTTGCTGCGCTAGTATTTTCCGGTTTTCTAAGGCTTAACTCCTGATTCCTATTTCTAAATCCAGCCGCCCAATCTCTTCCAGCACATTTATTCTTTTTCCAGGATTTAGGATATTTACATTCCAAGAATTCTGCGTATTCATAAGACAAAACCAGGACTTGCTGCAGAGAGAGCCCATAATGCATTTTGCTACAGTTCAACAAATATTCAGTAAAGGCTTTCTCTTGTTGAGTTGAGAACACCTGTGCAACAGTGTACTTGGACCCATATTTATTAGAAGTTGACGCTTCATTTCCTTCAGCAGTTTTTCGAAACTTTTCAATACGATGTTGCAAAGTTGCTGGTTTGATCCCGTATTTGTCAGCTGCCCTCCGTATAGACAATATCTTCGATATAACTTCGAATATAGCATTCTTTACGTTCTCTTCGTCGATGCTTCTCCTATCAGTCTTCGGCACAAAAGTTCGTACCATTTTCTGAAAAAAAGAAAAAAGGGTTTAGAAATTTCGTACACTTTTATACTACTGGAGCACTTTTATGCACTATCGGGGCACTTTTATACACCAGCGGGGCACTTTTATACACATCAATGCACCCCGTATCTCAGTGTATCAATGTACCCCAACAGACATTTTCGAAAAATTAAAATTGATATCAATTAAACTATTGAATTTATTTAAAAAACACGTGTAATCCTAATTACAGACTGGAATTACTTACCTTTGGTATCTTTAGGTCTCAAGTAAACGACGTAAAACAGCGTTGGAACACTTTTACATTTCACGTGATTTTTTAGTTGACCGCACAAAATACACTTGCTCTCGTCAAACGCCAACGGCTGACTGGCGGGCGGCGCGGCGCGGCTGCAACTGCTTTGTTCAAACATGAACAGACACGTTTTAGTGATGTCGCGGTTCGAATAACGTTCTTCAACTGTCACATATTGGTGGTGTATCATTGTACCCCCTACATCAATGTGCCCCGCTTCCCCCTACTGTTTATTGCGATAAATATTACCACATGCCTCGGTGGTCGAATTGGTTGAGACGTCCACCTAAAGTGAGGGAGGCCCAGATTCAAACTCTGGCTGAGGTATTATTTTTCGCAATAAATTTCTTTAATTAGAATTTGCCAGCAATGGGTCGTCATGCAATTTTCTATATGTACAGTTACGAAACTTTGCAAGTCATTGTAAAGAATCACTATGGTAGACCGAAACGCATGACTATCGATTTATTATTTTGCTTATTTGCGATTCAAATACATGTACTATATGATCCCCGAACAACTGTGTCGACTCTTATTGCCCGTTTTTTATTTATTAATCTGTGTTACAAATAATATTTTAGAAAGAATTTTTATTTATATTTAATACTGTATAATGAGTAAATGATGATATTCTTTCTTTATTCCAGGAAATAGAACGGATACATTTGTTAAGCATGAACGAGTTGCAAGTATTAGACTTGAGCCGTAACAATATAGGCCGACTTGGAATTGAAACATTTTCCAATCTTATCGCTCTTACAAGACTAGATCTGAGTCTCAATGCGCTACGCACGGTACATTGTTATTTTTAACATAAATTTGTCACAGAAATGTTTAGAAATTGAAAATTAATCTCACAATTTCATTTGTTTTTATAATCTTTCTAAACTTACCATTCTACATGTTTTATATTGATATGTAAAATACGTAGAATGGTAAGTTTAAAAACCTGTCCACGATTAAAATAATTAAGATAAATATCCCTACATGCCTCATTAGTCAAATTGGTCGAATGGTTAAGACATCTGTCACGGATAAAAGAGAGATCCAGGTGTAAATCCTGATCAGAGTGACATTTTGTCTAACAAATTCTTTTTAGTAATTTAAAGGATGCTCATTAGCATAAAAAATTTAATCGATTATTGATTTAAGTATGTTGAATTTACTGTTTCAATGACAAACTATGGCAACAAATAATCAGTGCATAGTTTGTGTGAAAAGGTATATAAATTCGTACAGAAAGGTATTATTAAGCTGCAAAAATCCAGTTTGGCCGAAGATGGCATATCTGTAGTTACTTGAAGGAAATTGTTTCATATTTTTTTTTAGATCTTTGTACATACATAAATGCACACACAACGCACACACGCATGTGCGCGCATACATGCCCACGCACACACGCGCACACGCACACACGTGCGCACACACACACACACGTGTATACGTACACATATATTTTTATATACATTATTACAAACATTAATTTAATAATTAATGTTTAGATTTAGTTTAAAACTGACAATTTTGTTATATATTTATAATTTACGTCATTCTTATATAATTTTATATCACACTTTATGTATTGCTTTTTACAGATTGAAGAATCATCCTTTGAGGGCTTGACAAAACTAAAATGGTTATCGTTGCAAGACAACAACATTCTAATAATACCAGCCTCGGCGCTTACAAGAATGCCATATTTGGCGCATTTGCACATGCAATTTAATCGCATTGCTGCATTATCCACTGAATTAATTCGTGCCACATCTACAAATCTCATGACTTTGGGTCTAACACGCAATCTGGTTCGCGAAATACCACCTAGATTGTTCTATAATTTTGAAAATCTTATCAGCATTGAGCTCTCTGGCAACATGCTATCTATTATTTCACAAAACATGTTTGCTGGTCTGGAGGACACTTTGCAAAATCTCGATATATCGTATAATCGATTAACAGCTATCATTGAATTGCCATTAAGAAATTTAGTTTCACTAAACTTAGCGGGTAACCAATTAAAACGAGTATCACCGGACACTTTCCAGTATTTACATAAATTGCGGTATTTAAATCTCAGTAATAATCCTTTGTATGGTGGTTTTCCGCCGATATTTCCTTCGTCTTTAGTCGATCTCGACATATCATATACAGAGCTCAAGATCTTGCCAACTGTGTTGTTGTTGAACCTTGAATCTCTAGAAAGGATTTCTCTAGCTGGCAATCACCTACAAGAAATCGATGAAAGCAGTTTCCAGTATCTCTATAATCTCACGACAATTGATCTCTCAAATAATCTCATTGAACACATCGATAACAATGCCTTTGTTGGTCTCATAAATCTTTATTCATTAAATTTGCGAGATAATAGACTCACATCGTTTATTGGTGAACATTTTAACACAGGCACTGGTTTGGAAATTCTTGATTTGTCCGGCAATCGCATCAATCAGTTATCTCAAACAGTATTTGCAATTCACCCGAGGCTTAGACAACTCGATCTTTCAGACAATAGATTTGTTCAATTTTCCGGTGACTACATCAAGTCACAACAGTTCTTGGAACGGTTGGACCTTTCTGGCAATATGCTACGCCATGTAAATGAATTTACTTTCTCACAAATGGGGAGATTGCGTGATTTGGATCTTTCTGATAACAGAATTGAATCGGTATGTAATGATAGACATTATGATAGATATTGGCTTTCAAGCTTTCGCGGCTGCTGTCTTCTTCAGTAATGGTTTCCGGATGGTTGCCGCGTCCGTTTGCAGTGTGGTGCCGACGTTTCGCAGGCGTTGCAGTCTGCATCATCAGGACTGGAAGACTCTGATTCTGAGCTCCCTTGCGTTGCGGTAGTCCTTAAATACCCGTGTCCCCATTTGGGGGGGTGAAGAGGTGGGGGAAGGGCCGGAGAGAGGGAGAGGGGGAGTCAGCCAATCGGAGCGTTGTAGGCTAACTAATTAAAAACCGGGAGGGTGGTGTACCATATCGAGTTAACTTGATAGCCTCTATCGCGATTTAGATTATCAGAGTGTTTCAAGATTTGGAACACTTTGAGAACGAAATCCTGAAGAAGGCTCCACTAAAACCCTCCAAATGGTTCCAATACGTGGACGACACCTTTGGCATCTGGAACCATGGAAGGGAAAACCTACCTCAATTTCTTACTTTTATCAACTTCCAGCACCATAACATTCAATTCACAATGGAGAATGAACAGAACTCCCAAATCCCCTTCCTGGATGTATTGGTCCGCAGGAACGAGGATGGCACCTTACGCCACCACATCTACTGTAAACCAACACACACGGACCGATACCTCTATGCAAACTCCCACCATCATCCCACCCAAAAGAATTCGGTGATCAGCTCTTTAGTCCACAGGACATTCTCCATCTCGGAACCAGCTGCCCTTGACGGAGAATTAAACCACCTCCACCGAGCCCTGACAAGAAATGGATACAGTAGTAGAAACATAAACCGTACAATCCAGAAGCTGACAAACAAGAAACCCTGCCTTAACAACACCAGGACGCCAGAGGTAAAGAAAGAGAAGAAAAAGGCGGTGGTACTTCCGTACCTCGGAGGCACGATGGACCGCATTAGCAGAGTTTTGTGCAAGCATAACATTAGAGTGATATTGAAACCACACAACAAACTTTTTCAAATGCTCCCCAATTCCAAGGATCGGAGACCCCATTTGGCAGCGCCAGGGGTTTTACAAAATCCCGGTTGCGGAAAAGTGTACATAGGAGAAACCAGGAGGAAGATCAGTACACGAATCAAAGAACACCAGCGATGTACCAAATACGGCCACTTTTCACAATCAGCCCTAGCCGAACTCAAGATTGAAACCGGACACGTCATCCAGTTTGACAAAGCCACCATGCTGGCCCCGTCCCGAAGCTATTTCGCACGAAAACACCGCGAAGGCCTTGAAATCTTGAAACACCCTGATAACCTGAATCGCGACAAAGGCTATCAGATTAACTCGATATGGCACACCACCCTTCCGGTTTTTTAATTGATCAGCCTACAACGCCCCGATTGACTGACTCCCTCTCTCCCTCCCACCGGCCCTTTCCCCCTCCTTTCCACCCCCCCAAAATAGGGACACGGATATTTAAGAACTACCGCAACGCAAGGGAGCTCAGTATCAGAGTCTCCCAGCCCTAATGATGCATACTGCAACGCAACGCCTGCGAAACGTCGGCACCACACTGCAAACGGGCGCGGCAACCATCCGGAGCCATTACGATATTATGATAGATAAATATTATGATAGATATTAGCAAAAATAAAAAGGAGAAAATATGATAAAGGCAGAAGGGAAAAATAGAACAATGAAAAGAAAGGGAAAGAATATATATTATATACAGTATAAAAATAAAGTCTCTCTATTCTTCTAAAGGCAGATGCACAAAATGAAAACGTTTTGATCGTAATGATAGTTTTATTTTACTTAACCAAGTAAAATAATGAAATATAGCGATAAATATTAAATAATATACAACTAACACAAAAAAAGACATTAAAAATACAATTTAAAATATTATAGAGTACGAGGTCTGTCCTGTAAATACGTATAAAATATTCATAGCGTCTGATACTGGAGGTGGGGAGATGAGATAGTGGGCTCCCCCTCCACTAATAGACTAAGTCAACATCTGACAAACGGACAGTCTTGCAGGTTTCAACACGCATTGTGTACAGCTAATTAGGCAGACCCCTTATACAGTGTCTCGTCGGTATGGAGCTTTCTCTGAGTGATGAGCAACGCATAAAAGTTAAATTTCTTGCTAAACTCGGCAAGAACGGCCGGGAAATTCACGAAGCGTTGGTATCAGTGTACGGCGAAGATGCCATGAAAGAATCAACAGTTCACAAGTGGTTGAAGCGGTTTCGTGAGGGACGGGAAGAATTCAAAGACGATCCTCGTCCAGGGCGCCCCTCCACTTCATCTTCTGTTGAAAACGTGGATCGTGTCCGGAATTGTCTGAACAGAGATCGTCGATCAACTGTTAGAATGGTGTCGGACGAACTAAATTTAAGTAAAACGGTCGAGATGGGCGTTGGATTCTCCACCACGACAATGCGCCTTCCCACACGTCCTTGGTTGTGCGCGAGTTTTTGGCACGGGCCTCAATTACCGTCACCGACCACCCGCCATATTCACCCGATTTAGCACCGTATGACTTCTTCTTGTTCCCCAAATGCAAAATGTTGCTTCGGGGACGGCATTTGGGGGACGTAGAGGCCATCAAGACAGCGACGACGAGGCAACTGAAGAGCCTCAAAGTGGAGGACTTTCAAGGCTGTTTCCAGCAGTAGAAACGGCGTTGGAGCAAGTTCGTTGCATCAGGGGGAGAGTATTTTGAGGGGGACAAATTCGATTTACTTGATTGATTGTCAAATAAAATTATAAAAAAACAATTATACGTATTTTTGGGACAAACCTCGTATATGAATGCGCTAAGAATAAAGTTAGACTGTAACAAACTAAATATTATTAATAAGAAATATGACTATTACGTAAATTTACAGGTCATTATATAATAAAATTATTACAGGTAGACGAATTAGCCTTCCATAACTCTACACAGCTCCAATTGCTAGATTTATCTAACAATGTTCTTGAAACACTGAACGAGCGCACAATGGAAGGTCTACTTAGATTAGAATCTTTGGATTTAAGCGACAATCGACTCGCCTCATTGCCCGAGACCGTTTTCGATTCGTCGAGAATTCACGCTGTGGAGAGCATTGATTTATCTGGTAATCGTTTTAATGAGATACCAATCCGCGCTTTGCAACGGCAATTGGTATCATTATTCAGTCTAAAATTAGCTCGTAATCGAGTGGTAGAAGTGTTCACACAAGACGTCATCAATAATGTAAAGGAGCTTGATCTTTCCGAAAATCCTTTGAGTGAGAACGCAATAGGTGACATTCTGGGCGAAGCAAAAATCTTACGCTCACTGAATCTTGCCAATACGAGTATTAAAATTATTCCCAGATTAGAGACGCCGTTTCTCAAGCATCTAAATCTTTCAGACAATGCAATTACAGATATTAAACCAGTTACGTTGGAGCGAACTACAATGTTAGAGAGTCTAGATTTGTCGAAAAATCGTCTGACAGATTTTATGAACCTGATCAGAACCTTCAAAAATCTTCCAATACTTCAGAATCTAGATATTTCCAATAATGAAATAAAGAATATTAACGAGAGCAACTTTGATGGATTAGCTACGCTACACTCCTTAAAAATGACAAATTTGCTGAATTGTACGAGGATAGAAAAAAATGCATTTAGATCGTTAACGAAACTGCGACTTCTACATGCTTATAACTATCCTAAACTAGGATATTTTGACGTACAAGGTATTTTGAAGCATATGAAAAATCTAGAGATATTAGACATTGAAATAAAAGACTCATCAGTGGGCAATGAGCAGTTATCGGTGCGTAATCACCCTTATTTACGAGAACTGACATTACGAGGAGAAAGGCTGCGCAATATTCTTTCAAGTTCACTGGTCGGTGTACGGGAACCAAAATTGTCCCTGAGTTTAAAGGATACTTCTGTGGATTCGATACCAACAGCCCTCTTTTTTCCAGTACCGCGTTCCACTAAGATTGAATTGAATGTCTCTGGTAGCAAGTTTACCAATCTCTCACCTCAGTTATTAACTGCTTTGGATGAACGAAGGACTTTCGTAAAAATTAGTGGATTAGATAAAAATCCGATCAATTGTAGTTGTGAAGCAAAACATCTGTGGAAATGGCTTAAATTATTGGGTAATAACGTGCCCACTGTTGTCTGCGCTAAACCTGAGTATTTAATGGGTGCACTGCTGAGCAATCTCACAGAAGAGTATTTCTTGTGCAATCGTACAACACCAACGAAGTTACAAACAACAGAAACCACACCTTTGACAAAATCGACAATCCTAGAACCAGAGATTATTTGGACCGTTGCACCAACAGTACAAAACCATCATAATAACCACTATAATAATGATCATACAGGTAAGTTATGTTAGCTTGTTAGTTACCAAGCATATGTTAAAATATATATAACTCGATATTGAGGTGTTCGTGTAGTCAAGCTTCCAGTTTCTCTAAACTTTTGACACACCCGTTAAAACATACAGCGTGAAGGATGCGTACGAAATGTAAATATTTACATTTCTTTTCTGCATACGAGTACAATGTTTACAAGAAGCTCGGCCATATTCAAGCATTGTAGAGAAACTAAGAAGTTCAAGACCTCAGTATTAATCAATCTCGCAGAAGGTGGTTAGTTCATTCAGTTTATCTCTCTTGTGATTTTCGTGACAAGTTTATATAAAAATGAAATTTTCATTTAGTGAACAAGTAGACATGCTCCTCATTTATGGAGAAGCTCAGCAGAACTCAATAAGGGCACAAGAATTGTATGCTGAACGATATCCAGATCGTACGCATCCTTCACGCTGTATGTTTCAACGGGTGTGTACAACTTTTGTAATTAAAATATTTTGATATCTCAAAAAATAGCGGAGATATTCCAGGTGATCAAAGTTCTTGCCCCACCCTGTATATATACAGGGTGTTAATAAATCATCGCATTGGCGGTATACCGTCGGATAGCGCGCGAAATTCTAAGAAAAATGCCGTTGGTTACAAGTCGATCCGAGCATTACGTTCCAAGTAATTAATTATTGAAAATTAATAATTTGGGCCAATCAGCGCGTGAGCCCAACGGACAGGAGAAGAGGCGCACGCGATGGGCACGCTCGGCCGTAGCCGCCAGCACGCGCGGACGCATACACCGAGCGGAGGGTTAGACGGCCGAGCGTACCCATCACGTGCGCCTCTTCTCCTGTCCGTTGGGCTCGCACGCTGATTGGCCCAAATGATTAATTTTCAATAATTAATTACTCGGAACGTAATGATCGGATCGACTTGTAACAAACGGCATTTTTCTTAGACTTTTGCGCGCTATCCGACGGTATACCGCCAATGCGATGATTTATTAACATCCTGTATATAGGATTTTTTGATAAATCTTAGGTGCCACTCATGTCAGTCCAAAAAAAGCGATACACCTAAGATTTGTCAAAAATCACCAAAGGTCCCCGCACAAAACGCGGGGAAATTTGGTCCCGGCCACATTCGATGAAACTGTGCTATTTTGTACTTCGAGTTATGCTGACCAAAAGTTGCCAAGGACGCAACCCGATTCTATGAGTCATTTTAGAGCTACAGAGGCTCAAAAGCTCGGAAATGAGGCCACGCCATAACGCTATCCGAGCAGAAATGAATCTAGTTGGTACGATTTAGAGGCTAGTAGCTAGATAGTACTGACTAGATAGATGTTCTAGCTAGTCACTACCTTGTGACTGGGTAAAATTTATAACCAGTCTTTGTTATCGAGCTACTGCTTAGTCATTAAATATAAAATATTCTCGAGTGAAAATTGATCTAGCCAATCTTATTTTACGGCTAGTGGCTGTATCACGCAAGCTAGATATTTTACCTAGCCATTGACTAGCTTAGTACTAGCTGAAATGTATGAATAATCATTTGCTATTTAGTGCCTGTCCAGTCGCTGTCCAGTAAACAAAGGAATAGATGGCGCTGAAAACCTTTAAAAAGGGGCTAGCTATTATGCGCAAACGCACTCACACACACAGTAAAGAGGGTTTGGAGTCGTCAAATACTACGGGAGTGACGAACCGTAGGGCCCTTATCACTACTGACACACACACACGCACTCACACATACACGCACTCAAACGCGCGCACACACACGCACACACACTGCACACACGTACCGATGAGAATCCAGAATAAGTCTAGGTCTAGGACAACTAGCATTATGGCGTGGCCTTATTTCCGAGCTTTTGAGCCTCTGTAGCTCTAAAACGACTCATAGGATCGGGTTGCGCCCTTGGCAACCTTTGATCAGCATGACGCGAAGTACAAAATGGCACAGTTTCATCGAATTTGGCCGGGACCGAATTTTTCCCGGATTTTGTGCGGGGTCCTTTGTTACGCCTCCCGCGCCGCAATCGCGAACCTCGTCACCCGCAAAAAAGCACAACACGTCGCGTACAAGCACAACACGTCGCGCGCGCACTCACACGCGCTCCAATAAATCACAAAGGATTCAAAAGGGAACGATAAGCTTTATTTCGCGAAAGAACGTCCGCGTAGTTCGAAATCTAAACTTCGAATTCTAATCGATACAACAAATCGTTTACAAAATTAATGAAATCGATATCTTGGCAACCCGCCACGATACCGGGCGTCGCTTTTCGAACGCAGGCGTAACAATATAATAAATTGAAAACATCGTAATTTGTGCTACTGTTTTGTAAATAATTAATATTTTTACAAAAAAATTTTCTGCCATGAGTGTTTAATACTGTATTTATAGATTGTTTAGATAAATATCAGTATATGTATATATATATATATTTAAATTGACAGCAGGTACATCTTCAATGAACAACATTTCAAATACTGACGACACTCTGATTATCGGAATCGTTGGTAGTGTAGTGGCGTTTATTGCAATCATTATTATTACGATCTGCATTTGCCGACTACGTTGGAGTAATCAGATGCAGGAAGCCAGAATTGCAGCGATGGCAGCGTCTAGCATTCATGAAGCATCAATGATTCGGCCAACAAGTGCTTATTCGGGCAAGATCAACCCTCATGATCTTTATGTAAGCTCGTACAATGGATCGACTTTAGGATATGGTGGTAACAATTCGATCCCATCGGCCACTCCTGTGCAAATGGTACCCTATGTGCAACCGATACACATGATGCAACCTATGAATCCACTTCCACCGTCATCACAGCAAATCTACGGATATTATGATAACCCATCTTTTCCCATGTACATGACGGAAAACAAATCAGACAGATAACATAGTTCAACAAAAATACTTTTCTAAATCAGAGAAAGAATATACTTTCTGTTTACATGCCGTATTATTTTATTATTAATTATAATTTTGAAAAATTTTAAATTAAAGTAAAAAGTTAATGACTATCATATAATGCTGGAAATATTTTATTTCATTCAAAATTGAGTTTATTGTTAAAACATTTTCTCTTTAAAGAACGTTTATTACAAAGATTAAAATTAATAAAAAAGTTATATTTAAATTGGATTACACTGTAAGAAAATTGTAATTTAAACCATTCAAGAATATTAATAATCTGCCAAATAGTTTTCAATTGTTTATTGAAATGTAAGAATTTTTTATGAATATAGTAATAAATAGGGGTGTAACTTCGGGGAGGTAGGCACTAAGACGCGTTACTTATTAATTTTCGGCGAGAAAAATAACGGGCTAGGACCTCGAACCTGGGACCTTCCACATACCGGGCGAATGCTCTTCCAACTAACAAGCTATCCAAGCCCACGCTTGAAATCCCTCTGACTTATCGACAATTTTATAATAAAATAGGAATACTTAGAGACCCTCTAATCAGAGTCTGGCTATAAGGAAGCATGCTGTGATTGGTCCGCCATTTTTCGTCAATTCACGCCAGATTTATAAAGCGGTAATTATTCAGTTTAGTTCCTTCACCTACAAAATCGGATAAAATTGGCTCATTCAACGCGTTTTTGCTTAAAACAAAAGAATCTGGCAGAAAAAAGTGTTGCTCTGCCTTGCGAAGCGAGATATTAATTGTTAATTTGCATTTCGCCGGTATGACAGATTTCTTGACTAAGAAACCGACCCTAACAGTGGTTAACGTCATACCGACGAAATGCAAAGTATTTTTTTCTTTACTAACTGCAGAGTGAGATAGTACGATAACACATATTTCTTTCTCTCTCACGGAAATTTAACGAAATTTGGCGGATACTTACCTTACCGGTGATATGGCCAGACTGATTAGAAGGTCTTTAGGAATAGTATACTAGTAGCGCGACTCCAAAGCGATGCATGATATCTCACTCAATGGTTCGATAGACCATCGTATGGATACAGAGTGGCCACATCGCCGAAAAACCCTCTATAATATTAAGTTTAATAATATTAATAAATAAATATATGTTATTAAGTTTATCAAATTCAGAATGGTTAAATCAATATGGTCTGTGTAAAAATAAGATTAAAATTTTTGAAAAATTTGTAACATAGAATTTTTTCGTGTTATTAAATATAAATATTAATATCATAGGCCGGTATTCGTAGTGTTCTTATTTCAAAACCCTCTTAAATAGTATTTTAATACGACTCTGTAAGACGGCCTTGAATATAACACGTACAGCACAGCAAGATTTCAACGACATTGTAGCAACATTTTACGGCAAGGTTGCAACATTGCTCAACTTTGAAGCAAAATGTTGCTGCAATATTGCAGCGGTAAAATATCCACCTGCAGAAATATTACAATGTATCAACATTACAGCAACATAGCGATATAATAACATATAAACATAGCAATATAATATATGTATAATATATGCAATAATACTTTGTGTATATTTATATTGTATTAATATTGAAGAAAAAATTTATGAACAAATTTCAGATTTTAAAGATCATAGGCTGCTAACAATATTTTCGCGGCCGTATGTGAAGAACTGTAAAGTCGCTGTCGCCCACGCAAGTTTTAACCACACTCAATGTCACTTAACCTCGATGATCGGACGGGCTAGCGGTGATCCTTTGGTTCTGACACTTCCCTGCCGAAAATGGTCGATTAAAGCCGATTAAAACAAAAAGTAATCTGAATTGTCTTTCAAGCTTTCGCGGCTGCTGTCTTCTTCAGTCGTAATGGCTTCCGGATGGTTGCCGCGTTCGTTTGCAGTGTGGTGTCGACGTTTCGCAGGCGTTGTAGTCTGCATTATCAGGGCTGGGAGACTCTGATACTGAGCTCCCTTGCGTTGCGGTAGTCCTTAAGGGTCCTTTCTGGTTTGTTAGGTCAAAAAAATCGAAAAAATTTTTTTTGCATAATTTGATAGCCCAGGTGTGTAGAATATTGTGATAAAAGCACAAAGGGTAAATGTTCACTATAGGGGAGTCAACCCCGATGACCTTGACCTTGACATATGTTGTCAAGGTTACCCTTCTGAGTATCGCTCAG